ATTTGCTTTCTGCTTATAAGCATGCCTGAACCCAAAGGTTGCATGGTGTTTCCTTGTTGTTACAATGCTGTTATACTGCACTGTGCACCACAATGAGGCTGGAGTAGCAGTGGGCTCAGGGCAAATATTTGAAATAAGGCATGAGCTTTTTTCACGAGGTACAGTGATTTATACAAACCTGAATTAGAAAAGAACCCAAGAAAACACAACAACAGAAATAAAAAAGGCATTTCCAAAATCCCAACCTGCCCTGCAGCCATTCTTATTGACTTTGTGCCAGGAACAGTGTTTCAATGTCATCAACAAGGAATAAATCCATAAGAGAAGCAGGAAGATAAAACACAATCTGTCCCGCACATTATAAAAAATGTCAGCTATATATTCCCAGAGCTGAAATTCTACGAAATGGTATGAAATAGCCTTCTGATAGCAGAAATAGATTCAGAGTGATGGAACTGTTGCCTTATTGTCACAACATTATGTCCTTATATTATTCAGCCAGTTTCAAGGACACAAGCCACTTATCAATTTGTTTTGCCCTGGCCCGACAAATAGATTTACCACCTAGAAGGCTTCTTTTCCACTCTGAGATGATTTTGAGCTGGAAGGAAATACATTTCTTGTGATCCTGACAACAAAATAAAGTTCCCTGTCATCAAACTTCACAGAACTTTATATGCTTCATTTCAAAAATAGCCTGTCAAGATGAGTTAGAGTGGTGTCCCTTTAAATTGGACATTTGTCTACTACACTTTAAAGGTTATGTATACGAAATTCACTTGGCTCTGGATGTCGCACTAGAGCACCAGCATCTAAGAGCAAAACAATAGGACACAAATAAAATAAAACTCACCAGAAAATGGCTGCAATGGTTTGAACGTCAGCTAGCTTACAAATGCACTCATCAAAGTACATCCACGAACACTGACAGGCTCAGATTGTTATTCTGTGTCAACATTATGGAAATCCCTACAGAGATAGACCTTATATCTACACAGTAACAGCCGTTATATCGTTATCGCTTGCCACCACACTCCATAGACAAAAAAGGTCATTTTACCTTGCATATCATCGTAGCGCTCTTTGTTAGTGTTTCCACTGTTCCAACAATCACCAACTCTGGTTTAGTTGAAATAAACCCTTAATACACCAACGTAGCTGATTTGATCTTTACATAGATAATATTAACATTTAAAACTCATACATACAAGCTTTAACTACAGTCTACAGTAAAGAAAGATAAATACATCGATGCAAAATGTATCCTTACGTCATCTGAAAGGTCTGCTCATCAGTGCTTTTAATAAAGTCACATTAAATGAAAACACTATGTGTTGTGTTCAAATTGACTGTCTTTGCTGCAGACTGGGTTAGGTTTGTATAAACTAATAATGACTCCTAACATTTGAAAGAAGGTGCAATAAAAATAAACCTGACTTAAAAACGGTCCTGAAAAAGATTCTCAGACATAATTCTTTGGCTTTACCAACTACCCACAAAACGCCATTACGAAGTGCATTTGTGCAGCCTGAAAATTATTCTCTTATCCTCATTGTCGCGCTGTTGGTAGTACCGTTGTTATCCACGAACACACTAACCCACAGTGGCTTGAAAAGCCAATTTGAGAGTTTTCACAAGGCAATCAGGGCCTCCCATTGTGTGGATAAGAGGAGGAATAATGACAACAGGGAGTGGATGAGAAAAAGCCATCTTTTCCCCATGGGATGAAAGTTTGTACTATGAAAGTACACTGCTCCGACTTCTGATACCCCTCTCCAAGCATGATCCAGTAACTGCTGCTGCTGCCTTCATTAAACTGCTATATATTACGCACAAACTTCACCCTGCCTGATTGACAGAGAAGTAATTGCTGCAAAAAAAAATACAAAAAAATAAATTTTGTTTTTACAAGCTGATATTACCATGGAAAGAGGCTGCCGATCGATAAACATTGCGGCAGTTAGAATCAATAATGTCTTCCCTGAGTCACACACTCCAATCTCTGGTGCTTGAATTGGCCAACGAGGGAGGGGTTACACTTCCTCTGGTCATAGACGAACCATAATTCTTGCCTCCCTGCTGCCTTTACAATTACACCAGCTGTATTAAAGCAATTTTTCATTCAAAAGTCCCAAGGCTGCGAGGAAACAAATAGGCTGAGCACAGAATTTGTGGTCCTTGCCTGTTCGTGACTCCCTTACACATGCTCTTTCTCTTTTGCTCCCTTTCCCATACTCACATTAAGGATCATGTCAGGTCCTCCTCTACACCACGAGGGAACCAACCCACCAGGAAATTACACTCAGAGAAAGTCAATAGTTATCTAAGCAGATGAATGCATGTAAGAATGTTGAGGACAAAACAGCAGAGTAGAACTTACATCACATATTTTACGTTTATTTTCATTATTGATTTATCTTTTACTCATTCAATGAATTTTTTAATTAATAAGATGTCAAGAATAATGACTACGCTGTATCAAAAGGTACCACAGCACAAAGTGATGTGTTAGAAAACAATTTGAAAAGCCTAAAAAGTATTCTATTTATAATTATATGAAAGCAGCTCTTTTATGTGTGAGAGGAGGATCAGCTGATCATATCATCCCCAAATAAATCCAAGTGTTTGTTTAAAAATGATGAGTAACTTTCGGTATCTGGCTCAGAGATTTGTCCTCTAACGGTCCGCTCCGAGGTTTCTCCTGTAAAGTTCTAGTAGAACTGAACAATAAATCTCATGGTATCTCATCAGCTGGGCTTGAATAAATCTGAGTTATGGAGCATTTAATTAAGTGTGCGTGTCCTGAGGAAGGGGATAAACTTGAAAAAAAGATCTCTTCTATATCAAATACAAGCAAGAGATGAGATATTCACTTTGAACAGTGAGGATGTATCTGATGAGCAGTTTCCTTTGGCTTGCTCACTTTTGCAAAACATCACGGGGATGAAACACTAAAACTATGTTAGTGTTCAATTTGACCTTCTCTATTTTATTTGAGTTTCATTTTAACTACTCACTGTTTATTTTCACTGATTACCAAATGTAAACCCACCATGACGTCAGTCATTGGTTTGTGGACAACTGCTATGGATTCTCAAGTTTGGCATTACGGCAGTCACCATCTTAGTTTTTTTGGAGCTACAAGTGACCATATTTGGACAATAGCCTGGAGCTGGTGATTTGTGCAATGCTGGTCAGACACATTGTCGTATTCCAGATAAACAGTACACTAAAATATTTATGGAAAAAGATTTGAGGATAGAAATAGTTAATGCAGTAACAGAATGTCGATTGATATTTAATCAGCACTGCCTAGTTTGGTTTAGAGTTTGGTGCAATGAGATGGAATAACTGAGAATGACTTGTCAGTCACAAGGTAGCCACGCCCTAAAGCATACCCTTCTTTAAAATTTTCACTATATCCTGACAGTAGTACATAAGACAGATGATCAACAAATCAGACCCAAGAAATATAGTTTATTGTTGAGTCTCATTCCCAGGTTGTCAAATACAGATGGCTTTGGGACCCTGGGAAAGAGACTCAACAAGAAACTTCAAGCCCCCAACCCAAACTTTCTTTATATGTTTCTTGGCTCTTATTGGTTGTTTTCGTTCAGGCCCAGTGGATTCTTATAAATGCCTAATGTGCTACGATTAGGATATAGTGAAAGTTTCAGCAAATATGACAAACATTTTCTGATTTTTTAAAATTACCTTTTGCAGCTTTAACATCATGCTGTATGGAAGACGACTTGAAACTAGAGACTGAGACCATAAAATTATTAGGAAACTGTTCACTGTTCACCACTGAGCTAATAAATCAAGTCAAACCTAAGGAAATTTCTCCATAAGACTCAATACTATTGGACATCTTTTTGGAGTCAGTGAAGTGCCCCCCTGCTGGCCATGACTGAAGAATGCAGTGGCAAACTATGCACAACTTTAACTTCTATCCCATTTTTGAAAGATGGAATGAGGAAAGAAATGGCTGCTTTTATTGATTGTAATTTATGTATATGTAATTTATATAGTTTGATCATTGATTTACGATAAAGAAATACTCAGAGGGGATACCTCAAGACAAAATCCACTCAAATTGGGGGTCCATGGTCTATTTATCTATTGTGGGGTTCCTGGATATGAAAATGTTTGGGTACCACTGCACTAATATATATGGTTACCCACAATGCTGATTAGGCATAAAAAAAGAAAGATGTTTAGATGAATATGTACATTATTACACTTAAACCAAAGTAAGTGCTTTTGTTAGGAAATGTCAGTCTGTCAGTCAGTGCTTCTTCAATCTCCTGTGGGATTTATGGCCACAGTGAACATGGACACATTTTCTCAAGAAGTGATGGACCTCATTTTTCTTTGGGTGCTAAAAGCTGATAGCCATAATGACCGACCTTGAGATACCCTGACCAAATGAAAGCACTGGATTCATTATGCAGAGCCTGAACTCATTTTACACCTTCACATTACCCAATACTATCTTACCATAAGAGGTGACAAACACAGTACACAGTAGAGCATGCTGTAACTTGGCCTTGGAATATTATTGTATAGGCGTCATTATTAAAGTGAAGCTTAAATCAGATAAGGGGATCCTAAACACATGACCTGGGTAGCGTGAACTCTTCAACATATAATACATTATTATTAACAGACAGATTAACACCAGATCACAGTAACACCACGGCAAGCACATGAGATTCGCCGGCAAGCAAATGGGTCACAAACACACATGGGGTTATTTCAACAAAGTGTGGGTATGATAAGAAAAAAGGGCAGTGACCCACAAGAAAAGGAAAAGACTGCTTCTTCAGGCAATGGATTGAAGACAACACCAAAACAAAGTCCATGCAGCATCAAAGGGGACATCAATCTTCTGGGTGCAAGGACCCAGAAATAAGGGGAAGAGTTTTGTAAAAAAAAAAAAATGCAGGGGAAAGAGATTCCCCGGAGGTCAAATAAAAATAAAATGAAATTAAACTTGCCATGTAGTTTGCTGTGGTCACACCCGGGTATGCAAGATCAAAACGGGTAACCAGTGCAGGCTGCAGGTAAGAAACGAAAGACAAGATCACCAGCCAGTATACTTGGGTAAAGACAGAGAGAGACAGGGAGAAAGAGAAGGGAGCCTAATGCAACAGGATAAAAAAGCATTAGTAATGGTTACCCTGCCACATGTTGAAAGGAGGAGAGGGGAAAAATATTCAAGGGGGTTAAGATTGGATGAGGATGAGGGGGAGTGGATCACTCTGGTTTCCTGCATTATTTCTGTCAATGAGGAAGAGCCTCTTACCCAGTGTAGACATTCCCATCGACTGACTGCACAAGTGCAAAATTACATTCACTGATCATCACTACTTATGGAAGCAAGTATTCGGATTTTAAAGCCACTGAATTCATGGCATTGAAATATTTTACTTTGAAAAGCATGTATGTGAATGTATTTGTTCGGACTTCTCTTTGAAATGATTAAAATACAAAATTTCCTGATTTACAAAAAAGCTAGAAAAAAAATAAAATAATAATTATAGGTTGCTCAAATTTGATTGGTCAAATTCATATCTAAAAATCCAAGTTGAAAAAAATTCAAATAGAACATCCACATGAATGAATGCAATCGAACCAACTTCTGTCCTATCAGAGCACGGTCTACCAGTCATGTGGTCCAAGAAAGTGGCACAAAAAGTAAAACCCAGAAATGTCTACCAGGGAGAACGACGGGGCTGTAAAAAACAACACAAACTGGCTGACTTATATTGTTAATGACTGAATTTTACTAATTAATTTGTGCAATTTGTATATTTTTCAACTTGAATATTTTAGAGCTGAATTTGTGAACATTGAAATGAACATTCAAACTCAGCTTGAAATCACAAATCAAGAAATTTCATATTTTAATTTCAAAGGTGTATTCAAAAAAAATTAATTACATACATAGTTACAAAGTTTTCAAAGTTAAATATGTCCGTGCTATGAATTTGAAGTATTTAGTGGCTGTTAAAATTAAATTGCTCCATAACCACTGCACTAATGACTCAAACTGATTTCTGCAGCACATCAAAAGATAATAAAACAGTGTTGTGTTCACAGCTGTCAATATACACATTGTCTGAATGACTGTCAACACTCTTTGCAACCACACTTCAAAATATCACTCCTGTGATAATCAGACAGCCTATTTGTCCCACTTGCTAATTTAGCCCTTTCTCACTGTTTGGAACTAAAACAATTAACAGCTTTCTTAAAAAAGAAAAACAAACAAAAAAAACCTAACAAACTACATAATGAAAATGAGGCTGGTTTAAGGATGGTTGAGCCATATCACTGCCGTGTTACATAAACAATAACCTCATTTACTTTGAATATTTGCCATGCCTTGACCAATATACTCAATGATATTATCGGCAAATAATGGCCTATTGCAGACATAACAGTATTGTAAACGCGTCAATGTTATCCAATATGCACCATTAGGTTTTTTTCCAGTACATAATCCAGACAAAAATGCTGGTGGTAATATATTGGTGTCACTGCAAAGTTTATCCAGCAGAGTGTGCTGTGATTTACAATACTGTGACAAGCAGCACAGAGTATGTTCAATTATTTAACATACTAATATAATACTATACTAATAATATAATACTATAATACTAATATTTAAGTTAAATATTCTTTAATAAACATATTCATTTAGGAAAGCAGCCTCTTGAGTACCTCTGAGTTGCCTTTGAGTCACAACGGTGCACAGTAAACACAGAACAGGTTGATTTTCATTCCAGCTCAGAAATTCACTGTATTTAATGAAAGATTGGTAATCAGTGAATTTTTGCCTTCTAAAATCAGCCTCAAAAATCCCATATTGGTCAGGCTCAGACAGTACACTGTCAGATTACATTGCCAACAGCAGCAACAGATAACAGTTTATGACACAACACAGGGAAAAAGTGCAAACAGAGCTAAAGCACTCCTGACACTAAATGATGACCGCAGAATTCAGCCAAAAGAGAAACAAAGGTCTTATATTCAAAGACAAAAGTATTAACATCATCATTTAACAACGATACTACGAGAGAAGGACTGTGTTAAATCACATTCGATCAGTTTCTGCTGTTATGTGGCAGACCATTCCAGAGGACTAAATCCAAGTCGAGGCCAAGCGTCCAATCACATGCATGCTGACAAACATCATTTACAATGATTTCAATTATGATAACATGTTATAAGCATTTCGGGCCAATTGTTACATGCCCAGTGGCAGCAGATTGAAGGAGAATATATGACTAAAGGCTTTGAAGTCAATCACACTTTTAGATTTTTAGATTACTTCTTCACATACTATAGTTAGATAAAATGTTTCTATAGGGGAAGAGTCACTTTCTTCAACAACAATAGTCACTTTGAGCACTTACATTATGAAGAATTATATTCCTGCACATGTGCAACATCAGATCAGATCCATTACAGATTATTTTCCTGATGGTATTTCTAATGCAATAAAACTAATTGCCCATCTCCCCACTGACAAGGTTGTCATTGGCATTAAAGCATTAAACCACTAAACATATTAAATCATGTAAAACTGCACAGGCTAAGAATATTAGATCCATAGACTTTGCGTTTATCAGTGGATTTCATTACATTTCTACAGTAATCACAGAAATCTTTCAATCAGTCAAGTGCTCCTCAACATTCTGCCTGTTCTTCTGTGAACAAAGACACAGAAAATTTGCTGGCGATTCATTTTCCATTCACTGAAACAACTAATGATTTGCCAAGAATTTCAAACACTGCCTGAGATAAACGGAAGATTCAACTCTTCTTAATTTACAACATCGCCCTCTGCTGGCTCAAACCTCAGTAGAGAAACAACCACTTCACAACAAACTGCCAGCTGAACTGCTATCTGACGTTTAACACCGGGTCAATAACACACTTGCAGCTTGTATTATGTACCTGAGACCGCTTAACACAGCTGGAATGTGTTCTTTTTCTCCAGCTTTGGACTTTGAGGCGTGCTATTTTGTGGGCAGAGAGAGGCACTGAGGTGTTAGAGGCTGGAGAGCAGGTCAGGACATACACCAGCACTTCATGGATCGAGATGATGAAGAGGGAAAAATGTGTGCAAGGAATGGTATAGGCACAGAGAAGGGGTGATTTGAATACAGTGTTTTTTTACTTTCTCTTCTAATGATAGGCAAAAACTACAAACTGACAACCAGATTACTGTCACCAATTTGTGTTTGTGGGTCAGGAAAATACATCGAAAGAAAGTAAATGGGAAAAAAGAAAGAGGAAACATCTAACATGAGCAGACACAATATTGCATCTTGAAATTGGCTTGAATTCAACCACAATATATTGTCTACTCACCCATATGTACTAAATAGATGAAATAAATTATGATGATTATTCTATAATGTATCTGTTCCATTTTATTTTTCTAACAAACACAAAAATTTGTAACAATGCATATAAAATGAACCACAAAAACAGAGCAGTCTGTGCTCATATTTAAAATAAAAAGACAAACAGATGAGGGAGAGAGACAGAGAGGACGGCCATGTTGGCAGTTGCTCATGCTGCTGAATTGGGATGATGTTGGGGGCTCATGGTGCTAAAGCCCATATACTTAGAATTAAGGGGAGAGTGGGGTTGGCACACTCACCTTGAGAGGAGAGATGTGGGAATGGGACACGTAGCCATGAACATTCTCGATCTCTGACAGGTTCTTCTCAGACACATGCACAAGCTCGGGGGCGCGCACCTCGTTGGTGAGCCGCGGGAATCCCTGGTCAAGAGGCGGTGAGTCGTCCTCTTGGTAGTGGTACTGCTGAGACCAGAAAGGGAGGCAGAGGAGAGGGTGGACATTGAGAGAGAGAGACAGGGACAAAGAAAGGTAAATGCTGGTTCTTGTTTGCGTTGTTTGTTGACTGTCAAATCTGACTGACAATGTCCTATTCATTAGGATTTGTGATTGTACAAATGTGTATACATTTATACATTTTTTGGTTATTATTAACTAGTCATATCATGATTATTGCTGTTATAATATTCAAAGCTGCAGTAGGTAACTTAACTTATAAAAACAACTTTGTTATATTTTCTGAAACTTACTATATCCTGACAATAGAACATAGGTTCCTCTGGATTGTTCTAGTGCTGCTAATGTCATTTGCAAGAATCCACCGAGCCTGGATGAAAACAACCAATCAGATCCAAGAAAGATAGTTGATTGTTGACTCTCATTCACAATCTGATTGGTTGTTTTTGTTGCGACCTGGTGGACTCACAAAAAGGGGGAAGGAGTAGAGATGGCAGACACCTACAGGTTCCTGGGGGTGCAGTTAAATAACAAACTGGTCTGGACGGATCACACTGAGGCCCTCTACAGGAAAGGACAGGGCAGGCTGTTCTTTCTGAGGAGGCTCAGGTCATTCAACGTGTGCACTCGGCTACTACGGATGTTCTACAGCGTAGATCTTATCCTGATGTACAAAAAATCCAGTAGGAGTTATATCCCAAACCCAACAGGAAGTCGGCCATTTTGGATTTAGCGGTAATTTCTGGCGATTTGCACAAGATGTATCTGAACGAACTCCTCCTAGGGAATTTATTGGAAAACATAAAATACAAAACATATGGTTGATGATATTTCATGATTGTGGTGATGGTTTGTTAAAGGGCGTGTCCGTGGCGTAAAATTTTGATGTACCACCAGAACACAGAAATTTGCTATAACTCGAGTGTACATTGTCCATTCGGCTCCAAACTTCACCTCTGAGGTGAATAGTCCCGCCCTGAACACATCTATGTGATAATATTTAGTAATAGTGATAGTGCCACCTAGTGGTGAAAGGAAATGTCATTTTTATACTTTTATGTAATTCTTCCAGCAGATTGATCAGATCCAGCTGAAATTCTGTCAGATTCCCTTGATGATGATGATGACATCTTATGAATTTTAAGAATTTTCATAGAACCACATTGCCATGGCGACATGTTGAACATCAGCTTTTGTTTCAACATTTGAACAATTTTGGGGGGCTAAACATGCCCGAAAACTCATGAAACTTTGCACAAAATTCAGTCTTGGCGAAGGCTTACGTATTGTCTTGGCTTAGTCCCGCCCCCCCCAGAATCAGCCCCCAAGAGACGTAAGACTGACATGTATGAAAATTGGTACGCATGTGTATGATGATCGGACATTTAAAACGAACTCCTCCTAGGGAATTTATCGGATCAATTTCAAAATTGGTCCGTACAATCAAAACAAACTGCAGATAAAAAGTTGACAGTACGTCATACGACGTGCCCGAATTTCGACAAATTGCCATAAAACAGAAAGTATTCATAAATGTCCAATCTCCAATATTCAATTCACTCAATTCAATTTTATTTGTATAGCGCTAATTCATAACAGAAGTTATCACAGGATACTTTTCAAACAAAGCAGGTCTAGACCGAACTACTTATAACATTATTTACAGAGACCCAACAGTTCCCACCGTGAGCAAGCACTTGGCGACGGAGGCAGGGAAAACTTCCTTTTAAGAGGCAGAAACCTTGGACAGACCCTTCGGCTCTAGGTGGGTGGTCGTCTGCCTCGACCAGTAAGAGAGAGAGAGAGAGAGAGAGAGAGAGAGAGAGAGAGAGAGAGAGAGAGAGAGAGGCGCAGCAGTAAACTTCATATATTCTGTAACAGTTCCACCCTGTACACATCCTCATAACTTAAGTGTACATGGTCCAATCTCAATGAAACTTCATATGTTTGATAGGAGTCCCGCCCTTAACACGTCTACATCATAGCGCCACCTACTGGCAACCGGAAGTAAGCGCTGCATGGCGATTTTGATCTGATTTATGTGAAATTTTCATGTTGTGGTCCGCACACGTTACGCTGGCACGTGACGCAGTCGCAGAACACCCTGACGCGCGCTGGTGCGAAGGCCCGTTCACTGCTTGCAGTTTTAATATTTGTATTATGTTTTAATTTATTTAATATTTTGTGCCAAATTAAAATTTCACCTATGGGGGATCAATAAAGAAACATCCTATCTGATCTTAAGAGGAGGATTGTTTCACAGATTATCTGTCTCATATACTACTGTCAGGATATAGAGAAAGTTTCAGCAAATATGACAAAAAGTTATATTTATAAAAGTTACCTACTGCTGCTTTAATATTTGCTTTGGCAATATAAGCATATAACCTTTCATGCCAAAAAAGCTTAAATTAGAAGGTGATGAGAAGTATAGGGTTTGTGTTACTGTTCACAGAAATGACGGAAGAAAAGTTTAAGAATGAATCTTAATAAACTGCCTCCAATTTCATCAAAGTGAATCAAAGATGACACAGATAATAAACATCAACATGGCAAAACCTTAGCCACAGAGGCACCAGTTTCACATTACAGTTCTAAGGTTTTAATTTAAATTGGATTTGTTGTATAACATTATTTATGATTATTATGATTATGATGATTTACATTCCATTGCAGTGTCTCAGATTTAGAATGTAGTGTTTGTATTATTTTTGCTTTCTGTAGATACAGACTAGGTTCTTTTAAGCAGCCTGTTGCACCAGCTGTGTGTAAGTTCAAACTTGTAACGTTACAAGTTGTGATTTATCCATTACTAAAATAAACGCAGTTACCATGACGATGGAAATCTATCTTTAAACATTGACTGGCCACTTGCCTTTGTTAAATAAACTTTTGTCAACAAAACCTTTTATTGCAGAGCATCCTGATGTAGTGTCCATTCCCTGCTCACTGGAATATCATGAGTTGGCAAACTAAAATAAATAGCAACACACATGAATATGATGATTCTATTTTTTGTGTACATTTTCATTTAAAAGTTCACAGGAGGAACTTATACTTACATACTAATAGTTTATACTTTTTTTCTAAGCAGACTTCTGTCTTCCATTACATTTTGCAGATCTTCAAGGACTTCCATTCTCTCTTGATGTGGGTGTATGTGAATTGTATTAAAGGAAGATTTATTACCAATCCCAGTTAACTGATACAAAACTAGAACCTTTTCTTGAATACACACAGTACAATGAATTCCCTCCTAATCAGGGGCATGTCCAGAAGGGGGGCCTGGGGCAGCACTGGCCACACTTGAAATCTGATTGGCCACCCTATTAACCTTTCCTCTTCCACACGGTCTTTCAGAGGCTGTAGCAGGGTTTTAGTGAAGATACTGCATATGAAACAAGATGACTTAACACATCCATTGGTACCAGCCATGTCATACTAGCATTTTGGGAAGTGAGCTAAGTAGTGCTGCAAAGTTAGGCTAAAATTTCAAGATCTCTGAATGAAAATGGGTACCCACAAGAGGCATGTCTGCAAAGGGGAGACCTTTGCAGACATGCCTACTTTATGCGAATCCCATGCAGTTTTCCATGTAATTTTTTGCATGTGGTATGAATGTGTTATTTTTGCCTAGTGTATTTGAATATTTCTACATACTGGGTACTGGGTTCCTAAACAGTACTGGAATTGCATAAATTAGTAACAACTGGAAAGCTAAGACACATATTTCATGCCACTCCTGCATAAGTCAATGCTGCACTTGTGCCACCCGAGTCAAAAAAAAATCTGGCCATGCCCCTGATGCCAATACCTTACTTTAGCAACGAAAGGATGCAAAATGAGTTCCCAGTTAACATGTAAACCCAGTGTTGACATGAATAATGTCAAAATGAACAATATGAATAGAGTGGCAACAGAGAAGTGTGTTGTGACCAGATGAACAAACCATGAAGTGAATTATCTTGACAACAACAACATGATGGAATCTCCTTTTTTTATTTCTGACAACATGAGCGGTGAAAACTTGGAATGAATCATGACATATATACATATCATGTCAGTAAATACTGTGGGTGATTGCCAGGATGACATGGGATGAAAAAAACCCCTCTTCCCCTCTCTCACCCAGGGAGCGTTCATCAAGGCAGGGTTCATGCAGGGTGGGGTCTGGCCGTTGTGGGGTGACCCCTGTACTGCTGGTGGCCTGTTCTGGAGAGAGCAACAGGACCACATGTGACCACCAAGAGCAAACAGAACAGGTGTGACTGAGAAATTAAGTCCATAAATGATCAATCACGTCCAAGATCCCAAGCACACAACCAGCACACCCATACAGCAGCAGAGACACCAGCAGGAGGCGGAGAAGCTCGTTCACTGGCACAAGCACATACAAAACTGTAGGTGTCTGTACTACTCTGTACCAACACTACAGATGTCAGTACATGCGGGACAGATGTGGTTAGGGTGATTACAAACTGAAACACACACACACACACACACACACACACACACACACACACACACACACACACAGACACACACAGACACACACACACACACAAACAAACAAAGGTAGTAACAGATGGGTAGACACAGAGAAAGAATCATCCCATGGCACAGTTACACACTCAAGAAAAAAAACTTAATTGTTGGCGAGCAGTGAACTAAAGCAGGAGTTCCCAAAAAGGCTCCACAATTAAAGGAAATATTATCGAAATCTCAATATGGACAAGAGCAATAGCCAAATCGCACATATACATTTGATAAATGTAAAATGTGTGACTAACATAATGAATAATGAAATTACTGTAGTGCTACAGAGATGTCCTGGTCTACAAGTCTTTCTCCGGAGGTAAGAAAACATGTTTGTTTGGTACAGAGCCAGTCAAATGTCACATTATCATGATTTTAATCTTTTTTCAGTGAAAATTTCCACACTAATTGTCAATCGTATATCGTGTAGCCCTAGTTCCCAATCTGGGGGTCCGGAGCCCCACAAGCAGTTGCCAAAGCTTAATGGGGGTTGCAAGGCCTTCTTGTTTTGTAGGAGGATAAGAAATAAAAATAAATACAGCAGGCCTATATCTCGGCATTTGATTCATTTCTGTGAAGAAAACCAAATGAATGAAATTGCTTTATTTAAAGTTAAGATTATTTGTTTAACTAAAAGAACAACAAGAAACATGGAACTAGTCAAAAAAGAAGCCTATTAAATACAAATGATTATTATTCTAATACAGTCATAAATAATAATACAATTAGTAAATAATACAGATAATTGTATAAAAAGTTCCTAAAAATATCAAGAAAAGAGCTCTGATCAGTATTCACAGGAAATAATCTGCTCAAAATTCATTGCTAGTATTACACAATCTTCCTGCATTTACTGTGTTCACTGTTTGGATTCATTGTACAGTTTATCAGCTGTTCTACTCGTATGGTTATGCATTATAATAATAAAAATACATTTTATTTATAGAGCCCTTTTTAATTGATATGCAGTGAATAAAATATGAAATATCTACAAAATAGATCACTCCTTTAAGGAAAAATGTTGGAAACCACTAAACTAAGGCATGACACAGCAAAAAAAAAATGGATCTACTATATCTCTATAGACAGACAAAAGAGTTATATAATAACCATATCAGTGTTAAAAATTTTAACCAAATCAAGTATTATTACAGCAGCACTCACCAACATGGTAGTATCATTTTAAGTGAGAGATTTCCAACCTTAAACTGAATGTGTCAGCAGTGTGGATTTGGAGATGGACCATGGTGTAGATGTAACATTTGACCAAATCACCTCACAAGAGAGGAAGAGCATGCCTCTCAAAGTCAATTGGCACACACTGAGAATGACTCAACAACTCGGCGGCCTCAGAGAACAGCACCCCCGTTACACAAACAGAAGTGATGTTCATGCAGAGAGTGTGGCTATCTGCATCGCTGAGATTCAACCTAACCATAACGCTCCGGTGATCACAGTTATTTCTGATAAAGCCTAAAGGCAGCAATGTAAAGAGACCCATTTTAATGTAAGCTCCAGGCTGCTCAAAACACCGTTAGTGACCCCCCCCACCCCCACATGGACTGTTCTCACTGCTGGCCTCTGGAAGGAGGTTCCGCAGTTCCGAGCAGAACAGCCAGACTCAACAACAGCTTCTTTCCACATGCCATAAGACTGCTGAACACTGTATAACCATTCCCCCTTCTCTCCCCCTACTCACTTATACACCTACAAAGGACTAAGCTATCCTATATTTATCTCATTAATAATCTTTATATTGCATTATTTTAATCTGTCTTTTAAACAAAAGATATATTTATCGTATTTTTCTTATTTGTATTATATACAAAAGTTATTTTACAATAGGCAACTAAAATTGTGCAATATATATTATCTACGGGTTTCTCTTCTCTTTATTTATATTAAAAAGTTTGATATTTGGATATCTATTTTTTGCCTGTACATACTGCCTCTCCTCTATTCCTGTTGCGCTATGTGCCATTGTAACGAAATGTCATTTTTGATGCAAATCTAAATGACAAATAAAGAAAGTCTAAGTCTAAGTCTAAGTCTAAGTCTGATGTGTCAGCTACCAGAGCTACTAAAGATAGAGTAAGTAAGATTGCATTCTGTCATTTTGGCTGAGCTGTATTCCTATGCATGTAGATAATACTGTAAAATAGGAAAAGGTGAAATGACAAATGAAATTTGATTCTTAAGAAACATTTGTCATTTTTGGTTCTATTTTAAACAATGGGCAAAATGAAATGTGACCCTGCACAGGATGAGTGAGTACAGATAATAGTCCATGATTAGTCTTCTCAGTGTGTTTGTTTGTGGTCATACTAAGGTTCTTATTCTCTCCAGGGTGAAAATCTTACCAATGCAGGTAGGGACATAACCATAAACTCAACTTGTGATTCCATACAATTCGTGATACTGGGTTCACAATACGATTTTCTCACAATTTGTTTAACAAAATGAGATTAAAGACAGTTTATTAAAAAGGATTTCATTATTTCTTAGACAACTATGTATAACATTTTTCTTTATCAAATGAAAGAATCTTTTTCATTTTTGAGGTATAACTGTGTAAAACAATGCATATTTCCTTTCCTTTGAAAAAGCGAAACTAAAGTCTTTGCACCTTGATACAGCTACTGTGTGACGCAAGACATCAAACGGCAAGCAAAGTCAAAAGTAGATAACACCCTCTGCGAATTAAATCTTCACAGATTTATATTGCGATTTAACTCTCTCAATAATTGCAATTAATTTTACAATTGCAGGTAAGTAGTAGTCGGGGTGGATGTACAGTATACATGTGGGGGTTAACTGGTTGAGCTAACCAACAAAACCCTAAACTACAGAGGCTGCCACTTGCATCCACATAGTGCCCCCCTGTTGAAGTGACCTCTGTCCACAGCGAAACACCTGACCAACATTATGACAGCTCAATCTCTTCTTCTTCAACAACCCAGCTGACCAAATCACTATTTCATGGTGGCGACATGTCTGACAAAATCAACATAAATACAGGTTTTTAGCTGCCACACAGCTGGTTACTCTGCTGAGTGTCAGCCTGTTACACCTCCCCTCAGTCTCCTCCTGCTCTGTACAGTGTTTTAATAGAGCCAAATTCACCTTATAGTTGTTCTCATTTACAAATTCGCTGAACAAGTAAGTGAACAAATATGAAATAGTTATTTAATCGCACCCCAGAAACACTACATGTTAAACAGCACTCATTCCCAAGCTGCTGCACTGTGGTGATAAAGTAAGTATTTTATAATTGCAACATCATCTGGTATACCTGATGCCTAAAAAGAAGGATTATGTTTTACAAAGGGTTTAACCTGAGCCAGAACATACAACAATGACAGAAATGATACTATGCACAATGGTCGGAATTGGTATTGGGAAGGAAAGAAGGGTATTGTAACAACGCTAATCTGGTGGCTGCTTGCATTAAAAAGTTTGTTTTGAAGTGTCAAGTCTCAGATGTCACAGCTTACTTAATATAGGCAGACCTTTCAAATGAAATGAAAACACTGGAATGCTCATTGAAACATGCTGGAAAGTATGAATAAGTAAAGTACTTGACTAGCAAAACCTTAAACACTCTACTTTTGGTGTTGACACTTCCATTCAGTCTTTGTCAGGATTAAGTAAGGAAAGCAAAGAGTGTGAAGCTCTGTGTGTGCAGTGGCTCTACATCTTTGTGCTGCTGCTATTTTTGCAGGGCTATTAGCACACAGGTAGGAGTTTCATTCATGTTACTGAATCTGTATTTCAATGCACTCTCTAATTGCTGCCTTCCAACAGGATTAATCAGTAGATGGCGGGGGATAGAGTGTTGCAAAGTGTTTCAGCCTCACAATGCAAGGCTGTATTGGATGCAGCAGGAGAGATGGGCTCTTTGATCTTACATCAACAAATCAATTTCTATCAAGAGTTTGTGCAGAAACACCTGATACCAAGAAGACAGTGTTCCCCTTTGTTTTCTGTTGCAGTGATGTGTAAAGACAGATTTTCAGGTTTGTTTGTGTTTCTTGTGTAGATTAAGATGCTACAGTGACTTTTAGGAAATACTTCTTCTAGAATTTTTAGAATAAGTATTCAGAAGTATTATTACAGCTATTTGCCGATGATATAGAAGGTAAGCAGCAGCTGGTAGATTCTTCAAACATAATACATGGTTGTTTTAATGTTATTGTTTCTGCTTTATTGCTGAAACATCTACAACATATGACAGAAATAGCCTATAGTCATTGGAAAAGGAAGCGTGGGGTTTGGACCTTGAGTCAAAAAGAGCACACGGCGAAAGGACACAGACTCTGTGATTACATCAATGATGCTTGATGCTCAAATGCAGTCAATCAGTCACAGTGTATCTGTGCATATCTATGTATAGAAATGACTGTATATAGAGTTTTATTTCCCTTTACTCTATAAATTGAATTATCTTTTTTCTATGCGTGTAGCATTGAAAGGGACTGCAACGTTTCATTTTGTGACACAACCTTGTGCTGTATGATGATAAATACGTTTCCTCGGTTGATTTTTCTTTCTTTCTATAACTCGACAACATACAATATGTGTGCCTTTTGTCTCTCTTCCTGTGTCTGTCTCTGTATGTCTTCGCCTCAGTGATGCTGTTGACACATTTATCATGAAAGATGCAGTCCCTCAAATAC